CAAAATATTTTTGGGTTTTACAATTATTTTTGATCATGTTATTATTTTTTCTATTTTAAATAATTGAATTAGAACGGTCACACAATAGAAAAAAGATCGCCAATCGATTTTGCCACATGTGACAAATTCAAATGTCCGCCATGCTGTTTCATACTATCACTAATTTTTTTTTTCAACCATTTTCTATTATTAATTAATATTTTTTTATATATATTTAGAAATGTAATGATTAAAATTAAAGGCATTTATTTATTAGTGACATTAGCAGGATGTTATCATATATATAAGCTAAAAGAAAAGAAAATTTTGTTGATTTTGATTAAAGTTTCATTAATGATTATTAATGGTTTTATTTTTTCATGTATAGCTATTTTGCTTCCCAAAGTTATAAACGTTTCAAGATTTTGACTATTGAAATCAATTTAATTAATTAAAGAAAAATTGCCTTTGCATAAACTGTTATAACTCATCATACATATATAACAACGCCAAATTTTAGATACTTTGATGTACCTTCCCATTGCAAATGTAATTTTTGTCATTCCAACTCTTTAAAATCGAAATCTATGATAACATTAGTATTAGGCATGCAAAATTTGTTATTGTCAAATTCAATTTGTCCTAGAACTTACGTATGAACTGGCTCGAACCATGATTTTCGATTCGAACCAAACTTACTATATATATACATGGAAAAAAATCGCGCACATTTTCAAAAACAATGATTGCACAAAAACGCACATAATGAAAAAAATTAATAAAATAATAGTATTTTGTTATTTAAGTCGAAATTATACATGCTAATCTTACTTTACTGTCATTTTTATTAAACTTTGATCGAAATTTTTTTGACAGAGCATTTCTCGCTTCAAAAAAAAAAAAAAAAAATGAATTGTTCAAAAACACACAATAATCTTCGACATATGATGATTCACGTCTTGGATAAACATTATGCTGTTTTGAAATTTTTATAAAAAACATAATTTTTTGAACAAATCCTTCAAAAAATTTTAAGCTCAAAATGTCACTTTAACTGAAAGTCAATGTGGCGAAATTATCAGTCTTTTATGAAAACAATATATTTAATATCTATAATTTTTGTCTCACATCATTAAAAAATATCATTTACGAAAAGAACAGGATTGCCTAAATAAGAAAATCAAAAGATCATTTACGAAAAAGAAAGCTGAATTGCCGGTAGAAAACAAAGACCAAGAAAGAGATGAATTCTTTTTTCCGCATTCATACATTCTTTATCAAATTAATTAATCAACAAACGGGCTATCTTTTATTTATCTGTTCCGCACAAAATGAGAAACAACAATTAATTATTTCCATAAAAGTACAATCAATCTATCAGACCCGAAAGTAAGCATAATCGCTACGACAAGATGTGTTTCACAAAAAAATAAACACTATTGCTAAATATCTGCAAAAACGAGCAATAATAACATCATCTTATCTAATATGTAATAAAAATCTTTTTCCTCCTTAGATAAACAAATTTCTAATAAAACCAATGAAATATCTTTCCATAAATACGCATTATTTGTTAAATAAATAATAGGTAAAAATATTTAAGATTGTACGGTACACACGTACAGTAGATCGATCAATTAAACAACAGGTTAAATTTTAAACTTTAAAAAAAAAAAAAACAGGTTAGAATTGTGGATCGTTACTTCTCCAACCAATATATAGATCCAGATTATGACTTTATTACAGTAAAATTATTTATATAAATGAGAAAAAAGCCAGCTCCAAAAAAAAAAATTAAAACAAAATAGTCAATTAAAAAAAATTTAATAAATTACAATGAACCATAATAATAATCATTATAATCAAAACCATAATCATAATCAAAATTGTAATCATATTAATCATGGTTATCCTGTTCCACTTTCTAATGAACAACGAAACATTATTCCTCGACACGCTACCGTCAGTAATAATCTAACGGGCATTGTCAACAATAATAATTATTTAGTTGACCGTGGCTCAATTAGTCCGATGAACATCACTCGTATCAATAATCCGGCCAGTTTTACTACCAATGATAATCTCACTGGCTATTATCACTCAGCTAATAATAATTCTATTGATCAAAATACTCATTATCAAGTCTCTGTTGATAATGATTTCTTTCGTCAAAACTCTAATAATTTCTTTGGAGTCAGTAATAATAATTTGGATCTACAAAATAATAATAATAATAATAACTATAATGATTTGACAAGAAATCAACTGATTCTCATGGCAGTTCAGCTTCAAAATATTGTTAATCAACTGTTAAACCGTTAAATAATAACAACAACAACAACAGAATAATGATATTAATAAATTATTTTACTTTACTATTTATTAAATGGGCATCATTTTTTTAAAATTATAATTAAACGCAAATAAAAGAAAAATGCCTATCTAAAATTCGTGGTTTGTGTAGTTGAAAAAAAGTTGTATATTAGAAAAATCGAAATGCCCATGTAAGCAATTAACTAGAAAGCATTGAAATTTTTGATCACTTAGAAAAAATATTCTTCATATAGTCAAAGTCGGAGGGTTTAATTAGTTCGGTTCAAGTTTGACTTAACTCTGAACTTGAACGAGTTTTTTTGAACCTGGACAGAACCTGAACCACACCCGTGAGTTGACTCAAAATCAGTTTAAAGTTTATGCACATGTTCAGGGTTCAAGTACAAAATTTGACAAACAATTTCTAAATGTGGTTAGAGTCGCCAATTTGCTATATAGAAGATAAAAAACCATTTCTCTATTAATTTTTATTATTTACAGTGTAACAAAAAAAAATTGGAAAATTTTATTTGTTTGTTTTTCGATATTGGTTGAATAAAAACGGAGAAAAAACATATCAAAAGAAAACCGAAAATCCGAGGTTTCTATTAATATAAATTTGATATGAAAAATTTTTTTAATTGCTTTCAATATTAAGCAACAAAGTTAATTTTTGATCCATTAAAAATCCAATTACAAAAATCTGTGAACTCATTTTTCACTAATTTGCCAAAAATCATTCCAATTTCAGGAATTTTTAACATTTATTATTTATGTCTCACTTAATAAGTTCACCAAAAAAATTGATGTTTCAATACATAAACATTGTGAATAATCATCATATAACTAACAGAAGGTTTTTAAGTTGAAGCTCTTGTGGGTAAATTTCGAACTTAATAAACTTTCAGACATCCTTTTTAAATCAAAATAGCTTCTTAATCTTTGTAACAACTTTAGGAATGATATTTATATAGTAATTTGCTACTGGAAAGAACAAAAATATTCTTTTCCTAAATTTCACCAATTTTTTTTTGTTACGCACTGTATCTGTATTACTTATTATTAGTACAAATAAAGAAAATGTCTAAAAATTCGTGATTTGTAGCTGGGAAAAAGTGTTGTATATTTAATTGTAAAAAAAATTTGAAAGGCTCATGTGAGCAATTAACTGGAAAGCATTGTAAGTACTCCCAAAATTTTTGGCCACTTAGAAAGGTATTCTTTATATAGTCGAAGTTGGATGGCTTAATAATTTTTTTATAGATGTTTTTTTGAAGGTTTTAATGGATAGTAAAACTCCCTGCATAAGAGATTTATGTCAACAGTTCGTGACCAAATTAAACTTTGAGAGGAACCAAATATAACTATATATATATTTTTATTTTGTTTGTAGATTTCTGAACGGTTACACAAATAACACTATTTACATGTCCATTAATTTATTGACGCAAAACCTTTTCTACAACAAAATGTTTTTCAAAATTGACAAACTTGTCTCAAAAACCTTTATCTTCAATGGAATAAAGCTCACGAGTTAATCAAAAGTTAATCTTTATGTTAAAAATAATAATTATTATACAAGAAAATAATCATTTTGATTCTTTTTAGACCATCACAAGTTTTCCGCGAGAGCTTTCTAAGAGATTATTTATATACAACATTTACAAATCATGTGGTCTTTTCATCTTTCTGTAATACAATTATTTATCTTGCAATTAAAGAATAAAGTGAAGCAACAATTACGAATTTTTTTTACATAGTGTGTGATATTATTTATAAGCTTATATTGATCCTATGAAAAGGTCAACTGCTGTTCTAGATCATGCAGTATTTAATTGTATATTATTGGTATGATTGCTTACAGGAATGTATTACTCTCCCATCCATATTGATATAGATTATGAAAAAAAATATAATAATTTTATTTAACACTTTGTACAATGCATTTTGTGTTCTCAACCTTAATAAAAAACTAGTATTTGCATGGGAAGAACTTTTTTATTTTCTTTTGGGTCCCATCATCCAATTATTATTAATTTACAACACCAAATGTGAAACATTGTCCAAATAAATGTTCTTTACCAAAGGAAAAGTGACATAATAAGAAAGGATTATCGTGCCAATTTATTTAATAACTATGAATTACTAAAATTGTAATAATTTTTAAAATTAATGTTTTGAAAATGCCGAAGGTAATGATAGTTTTTGGCATTGAATTAATTCAACGGCTTTTCGAAATTATTTACTATTACTATTAATATTAATATTAATTAATAATAACTATTAATAAGAATGTTTGCATTATTGTTATTATATCATTGTTATAATTAAAGTGGCTGTGTGGCTAATGCATTGATTAACAAAGTACGGTGCGCTTATTTATAAGTTGATTAATAATCATTTGCAGCTAAAACGCTCTTTAAACTAAAAAATTTTAAAGAAACCAGAGAATTCTTTATAAAGTAATTAAGTGGAATAATGGCGAGTATCAAAAAAGAAATTGTACGACTTTTAAATTTTCTAAAAATAAAAACACAAATATGAATCTTTTGGTTCGTTTAGCTCAACAAAAAAGTATAAGTACAAAGTTTTTTGTCATTCTAGAAAATTCAAAAAATCAAAACTTGAGCAAAATAAATAAACCATAAATTACTAAATTTAGTAAACCCTCAAACAACCTTTTACAAAAAAAAACAACTTTCAACAAAATGAATAACCTTAACAATTCTTCAAACAACAACAGAGCCGTTTTTTTCATTGACACTAGTAACCCGAGAATAAATCAAGTCATCTCTACTAGTAGCAGTCATCCATTCATCAAACCACCCTTCCCACCTGTAATTGATGCTCGTGAATTGATCGTTAAACAAATCAATGGTAAATTGCCTACAAGATCTCCTAACGCTTTCATCATTTATCGTAAAGTTTTTCTGGATGCAGCACAAGCTAATGGATACAAGTTACCAATGTCTGTTATTTCAACAATGGTTTCCAAATCTTGGGAAAACGAACCTCAATATGTCAAAGATGAATATAAAAAACTTTCCAAGGAAGCATTCGATTGTCTCAACGAAATGAATCCAAAATCAATCAAACCTAATAAAAGAGAACGTCGGAATTTTATTTATTTTGGTCGGAAAAATAAATCTTCTAAAACCCGTCTTAATGTTAAACAATCAAATGGAAATACAAATAAAAATAAAAATAAAAAATCTAAACCATCTGCTACTATTATTGAAAGTAATGATAATATTGCTAATATTGCCAATGCAATTGATTCTTTAACTTGCGATAATTTCGATGATTTCGATAATTTCGATAATTTCAACAACAACAATACTACTTCATTTTCACCTCTTTCAACTTTTTCTTTGACAGATTCTTCAACAGATTCTTCGCCTGATCCTTCAATCGATTTCAATTTATTCTTCAACAACAACAACAACAACGACAACAACGTTGATATTCTTATTCAAAATATGCTAAACGCGTCATCTCTTACATCAAATCTTAATTATTCTGAGGATATTTTAAATCAATATTTAAATTTTTTCGATCAAGATATGTTGCTATCTACGACAACAAATGACTACCAAGCTTCACCAGACATTGATAATTTATATGAACAACAAAATTTTGTAAATTTAATTAATTCATTCGTTCAACCACCACCATATTCATCCTCAGAATTCGAAATATTTTCAGATAATAATGATGATGATTTTCAACAATTTATAAATATTTATGAACAACAACAATTACAAAATGATTTTTTAAATTGACGAAAATGGACTTGGAATTTCATATAATAATTTCGATAATATTAATACCATTATCAATAACACTAACACTAAGAATTTTGATGATTTATTATTTATAAATTAAGATTTATTTTAAATAATAAATATTTATGTTTAAGCTTTAAAATTAAATATATGAATATCTTTTATTTTTTTATCTCTTTCTATTTGTAAAAAAAACATTTATAAATGTTCTAAGAAACAATTTATGACTATGGTTTAATTAAAATGTATATACATGTAGAAATGTTTATTTAAATTGGAAATAGGGTTTAGATATGTAAATATTATATAAAAGGAATCAATTTTTTAACATCACAATTGTACTATATACTTGTAAAGTGATATTTAATGAATTTATGATATCTCGCCCATTTTATTTTCGTTGACACAAGAACAAGGCGAGAAAAATTAAACTGCTTAAAGATTATCCAAGGAAAGATTACTTGCGAAACTTACAAAGAAAAAAAAATCCTCCATGAACTTCATTACAGCCCCAATAATAATATATGTAGAGGAAAAATTGAATACAAGGAGTTTTTAACACGCCATTCAATTTATAATTAACGTCTTATCAAAATTGTGATGGTTTATAATAAAAGCGATCCCCCTTCAAAATGCATTTGCATCAACCGTCTATAAGACTCTAGGGTTAACCCTACCGCATGTAACATTAAATGTCGATGAAAGTATGTTTGGTATATATTGCAATAGGTCAAGCTCCTTCTTTAGAAAAATTACATGTTTAGGTCTTGACTATTCTTAATTGAAGATTTCTAATCATGTAATATAAAAGGTTAGATAAAATTAACATTGATGGCTTACGGAAACTTGGCAAACGATAAAAAAATGATTTTTGATATTGAGGAATGCGGTTGTTGCAGCATGTTGCAACTCAATTCATAGTTTAAATATTTATTGGCCTTATTTTTTTTATCAGTGCTAGAAATGAAGATGATAAAAATGACCTGTTAAAAAAATTTGACTTTCACATAGAAATTTTTGTTGCAAATTCATCAGATCATAAAACTATTATTATAGTAGTGGTAATAGAAGCAATAAAAGAAAACAAACCAACAAAAACATTAAATCTCTAAAAAAAATATTATATTATTATCGAGAGTCATTAAATTATAAGTTTATTTTAGATTTTACAAATAATAATATGCACAGAAGAAATGAAAATAACTCTATGACGTGAATGTTGGTTGACTTAATAAAGAGTATCATGGATGGTGTAACTGGCAGAATGTAAAGTAATTGCAAGGTATGCATCTAGATGTCACTATCACTATGCAGTGAGTTACACTTTTTGATAAGGGGAAACTAGAAATTAACAAGAAGACAGGTTGTGTTCTTATCCAAGAAGTCTACAATTTGTGAAATAGCTTTAATTATTTATTTGCAAGCACTTACAAGCTAATATAGATACAAATAAAACAAAGCATTTAATATAAAATTAAATGATTAAAACAAACCAATATTATTTAATTCAACAAAGTAATAATAACTATAACAAATAATGAATAAAAGCTGCAACTCCAAAGAAATCATTTAAATCTGACCACAGTACACAGTCAAATAGTATAACCAATCATGAAACGCTCCATGTTAACAACACTTCTTCTGCTTCTATAAAACTCCTCAACAAACATTCAACAACAAAACATTCAAAAAAGAATATCCAAACAATAAATATACGCACATAAACATATATTAACAAACATTCACTGTTACAACAAGAAATGATATTTACAGATATATAGTTGTCGTTAATCTTTTGATTAGGCTCTCTGTCTTGATCATCTTGATTAATTTATGAAATAAAATTACTTTGTTTCATTCAACATCCAACTGGGATGTTGGCCATCCTAAATAATTAAACAGTCCATTGAATAATGAAAGGTTAATAATTACAATAATTATCTCATGACACAGATAAGGTTGACAAAATCAGGGAGGAAAAAAAAAGAAAATAGAGAAGAGGCACAGATACATGGCTTTATAAATCAACTTATGAAATAGTTTTTTGGATTAGAGATATTATGAAAAAGGATTTAGAAAAACCTGTTGAACTAATCTCTAAAGAATGGAATGTGGGTACGATTTAATATATTTTTTCATTTATAATGCTTATCTTTTTTACATTCATATATTTCGGATTATTATTTGAAAAGATGCAAGGATTTTTTTCTTCCGAATCAGGGCAAAGCCTGATTTTAAGAGCTTTCCTGGCTGGAGGTTTTTCAGAAGAAGTTGAAGATGAAAAAATTACACCACTCCATATGCTATTTGGTAAAAAGTGGAATATGATTTAAATCATTAGATATTCACCCCATTGGTTGGAACGCAGTGATTCACTAGTATTTTAAGTTTTTTAAGACGGTTATAATGACAACGATGCTACTATCACAAAATTAAAACATAAAATAATCACGCCTTATTCATTTATTCATTCTGAAAATTTTATAATTTGTAACTTGCAAAGTTCTTTTAAAAAATTAAATTTTACCACCAAGGTAATAATAATAAAATATCTTTATATTTTTTATGCCTCAAAATAAATAGACTAATTCAAATTGTAAAACTTTTCGACCCAATTCATTTGAGTTTGTATACAACTAAATATAAATAATAATTATTAAAAGGTTACCATTTTTGATTTCTCTATCTCTTTCTCTAATGTATACAATATTAGTTATTGTGTGTGTGGTTTATTATTTCCAGAAACTACAACACCCAATCCTTCAGTTAAATCATTTTCAAATCTTTTAATATCCAATACACCATTGACATCAAACCAACTACCATAAGATTTAGAAATTTTATATTCTGATCCTTTATCTGTAGATGATAAAGATAACAGTGATTCATTTTTGTTCTTTAACTCAAAAATAATACTATAAAGATTTGAATATCTTTTAGCATTTGTATGAATAATCAAAGTGTGCTGTTGCTGTTGATCATCACCATTTGTTGAATCTCCAATGAATATTATGTCACTTTCAATAAAAAATAAATAAAGCATCAAGATTGTATTTAAAACAAAATATCTTTAAAATATTAGTAATATTAAGAAGATTATAATGAATGTAAGTAATGTATATTAGATATAAATAAATATTAGGTAGGATACATAATAATACATATGAAAGTGATTAGTTTAGTATCTTCAAACGGTGTTACATGTCCATAATAGCCACAAAAACAAGCAACGAGACATGCCAAATATCCTAAAATAAGTTTAACATCTGTATGGATATTGTTTTGTTTATATTTCAAATTACTTGTAAAAAACTATAAAAATAACATAAAAATAAATATTAATATAAATATTAATACTAAAAATCACATACTAATAATCTTGAATTAATTTACCTTTTGAATATAATCATCGCACGCAAATTTCAATTCTACAATATTCCACCTATTCACTTTAATAATTTCTTTGGTTTCTCCTTCTTAAAGAAAAAAATGCATTACACAAATGTCAATATTTTACTTCTTCTATTATCCTATAATTTATAATTTTACCTTTATTTGAAGAAGTAGAAGGAGTGGCAGTGAGTTCTTTTTCTGTTTCAGACATTAAAAAAAATATTTTGTAAAAAAAAAAAAAAGGTAGATCATCACCAATTTTAATTCTTGTCAAAAAAATTAGTTGTTTATCAAACGGGTTAATCTAAATTATGAAAAGCCTATCAAACTCAAAAGTTAATTTCAAACCAAGCAAGGAAGAAAGGTTTATTTATTGAATATGACATTTCTTTATGGGCAATCAAGGACAATATATTATTTGGTTTTCTTTTCTCGCTCTTCCTACTAACATAAGAAATACCAATAATAATAAAACCTTTATTTTGCTCTCTGAAAGAAGGCCCACATCATATACTATCTGTATATATGTCTTATATATATATATTTTGCTTATTTTCATTATCTTCTTGACTAGAATTACCCAACTCATCAAGATTAATTTTGGAACTAAAATTATTATTTCTTTGTTCTGATTGCTTGTCGCGGGTCGATTTAAATCCAACCCTTAATTACCAAATTTTTTTGTACATCACGATACTTTAAGTCTGGTAGATTCGTTCAAAATCTCTTCTTGCAGTTTCTTTTTTTTTTTGAATGAACTCTCCTACATTTAAACCTGTAGGATCTACCTCATTTGTCATCACAAAAGTAGTTGGATCGAAGTTTATATAGTTTTCTTTTTTGAGAATATTTTTCTTTGGGAACCCGATATCATTTAAATTCTTAAAGATTTCTCTTAAATTATCACAAGTAACAAATTTAATTCCTTTAATATATTCAACTTTCATATACTTGAATGTAAAAAGGTTTCAGTATGTGCTGATCGTTTTACTCCTTTACACATCATCAGTCCTGTTCTGATTCTGACACTACAACTACCACAACTACCACTATTTCTACTTTTACTTTTAAGAAAATATAAAACAAAAAAGCTATCAAGCAAGTACTTTTTTATTTCACTAAATTTTGAACTTGAAATTCATTGCGATATAATGTTCACCTTCTTTGGTTTTGTTGCAGCCTGCCCATATAAATAATAATAATTAATAATAATTAAACAAATTATAGAAATATATACCACGTTTCAAGTAATATTTTCTTTTGTAAACTTGACTGAAGAAGATGAAAAATATTTTTAAGAAATATATTATTATTCCCATCCATCCGACCATCAATCTATATACATCTATTTCTAATGAATAAGTCATCCAATATAAAAACATGCTAGTAAACAAAGCATGAAAAATAAATATTAATTCGCGATATTTCAATATTATTGTTATTATTGATATTTGCTAATGATCCTATCACATCACATTGTAATCAACCTCTCAAGCTCGTCCAATTTAAAATTCACGCAAACTTGATTTTCATATATAACATTTTTAAAAACAACATCCTCTAAATTTTAAACTTTATTTATTCCAAAGTATCTCTTAAAGAAGACGTAGTTTTTGGAAAATAGAAAAAATAAATAAAGGCAATTTATGATTGATTGTATTATTAAAATTTGCTATTGACATCATAAATAAATAAATTGATATTCCTCGTGGGATCTGCCTGCATAGATCAAAAGATGAATAATAATAATAGTGATTATATGGATATTTTTTCACCAGCCAAAGTTGCTAGTAAGAAAAATGTTTTTATGGAAGACGTCCAGACAATCAATAATAATAATAATAATGCTTCGGAAAGTAGACCACCTAACAAATTTATGAGTCTTTTAAAGGCTGTTTCTTCTAGTAGTGATAGTAACGATAGTAATATTAATACACCTATTAAGGATTCTGACACCACTAATATTATTATTAACGGTAACATCAATAACAAAGTCGAAAATAACATTGATATTAATATAGAAGACACCAACAATTCTAGCAGAAGGAATTCAATAATAATAAATAATAACGATAGTAACATTGATAGTAATAGTAGTAATAGTTTATCAGATACTACTTCATCAAATTTTCAACATAAAGTTCTTGAAAATGTTATTAATGAATGTTTGGAAGATTTTAAAACTTTATTACATAGAGATATAATGGATATGCATGTAGAATTAATAAGACAATTTCATATTCAACAGGTTTTTATTAATTTCTTTATGGGGGGGGGGGGGGGGGGGTTTTAAAAAAAAACTAATCATTTTCGTACACTTTTTCAATTGTACAGAATAGTATTGAAGGAATGTTAAAATGTTATTGTAATGATGTGAATGAATTGAGAGAAGAAGTTAAAAGGTTAAAAGAAGAAAAAAATTTGTTAAAAAAGAAAATATCTAATGATAAGTTTTATCTTTAATATCGTTCTTCTATTAGGAAAAACAAACTATAATTTGTTCTCTTAATAATAATAATGATATTGTTAATACAGACTTTTTAAAAAATTTAAAATTCATTCATTAATAAACAGAAAATAATAATAATAATAATAATAATAATAATAAAATTATCAAGAGTTACTGAATCAAAAAAACATTTTACTTATAAATCTATCCTTATTAACTGGTATAACTTTTTTACCTTGGGTGTTTCTGCCCACATCTAGAAATCATCACATAAATTCTTTTTAAAAATTCAATAGAGCGTGCGCACACACACACCTCTAACATCTTTCAATTTATCTGTATTAAACTCGTTGTTACTCCATTTGTCGAAACTCCTTTCTGAGATTTCAATTTTTGATTTTTGAGTTGTGGAATATATATTATTAGATGTAAATATATAAGCATAAATGTAAGTCAAAATCAAATTTTTATATTTGTTTGGATGCAAAATTCTGATTGGCTAATTTGAATTTCACGCGCGTGAATTTCAAAATTCATGCACAACATAAATATTAGATTATTATTATTATTATATTAGATTAGATTGCGTCAATTTTCATCATGTTAAAAAATAGAAATTCGCGTATCAATCTCTTTAGATTTTAACACAATTGACATCATTCACCTTTCTTGTGAAATACCAAGATAAATAATAGATTGTTGGAATTATTTATTTAGAATTCATATTTTACATATTTTACAATACATTTTACATGTGTTAATAAAATCCTTTCCCACATGTAAAAATTTTACATCGTGACCTATCTTTGCCCCACATTTAATGTAATTTTTATTATCAAAGAATAAAAATATACACATGGGTTGTGCTGTGGTAGTAGGTGGAAACTACATTTACAATTATTTAACATATACATATGTTAATTTGATCAAATCGCATTCTTAAAATATTCAAAAATAAAATAAAACTTTTTTTAAAAAAACAATGAAAGTGTAATAATCTTTAGGAAGCAAAAATCTACAATAATATAGGCAAAAAATGCCTTTAAAGATTCTTTCATGAGGATTATAAGAAACAACAGATGAAAATGTAAACCTGTAAACTAAGGATGCAATTTGCGCAATTAAACGCAGCCTGCGTATTATGAACTTTATGAATACAAGGAATATAATTAAATCAAAATTTCATTAACTAAACCATTTACATCCTCTTCATCACTCTCATTAAGATCAGGTAGAAAAATCACATTAAAATTGGTTCCAATTAGAAATTTTAAATCTTCATCACCATTATCATTGAAATAATTTACATCATGTCATAAAACTTGTCAGAACCGAACCTTCATATTCTTCAACAGATCCTTCGACGCTTTCACTTAAGTCTCTTGAAGTGTTTCTTTCGTTTATCTAGTGTATGTCTGCGGAAAGGTTTAATTCATTTTTTATATTAGAGGTAAGTTTTGGTTAGTGATTCAATTGTTTGAATTCCAAATTTGCTTGTTAAATATCATTGAATTTACAGGATTAATATCAATAACATTATCATCACCATATTTCAAAGTTTTTCTAGCTCTTCTACAATCTTTTATTCATAATTTCAGATCAGGTAATCGGAAATGTATGTCAATGTGTTCAGGAAATCACAAATAAAAGGCTGGAAACATTTAACATTTGAAATTTTCCAACCAATTTTTGTTTTATATTCTAAAAAATGAGACATATATGTTAATAGCACACATATATAAATAAACTGATTAGGGATAAATAACTTATAATTTAAAATAAAAAAATGATGAAAATAAATATAAATTGTCAATTTTCCTTTCTAAACTTTCTCTCCTCCGAAATTCACGCACGTGAAATTCAAATTAGCCAATCAGAATTTTGTTTTTGAGGACTAAAAAAGAAAAGATAGGCGATTTGCAGTTTGCCTGAACAAGAAGTTGCTTGTTGTTACTGGAAAACTTCAAGAAGATGCAATTACTTAAACTTCCAATAGCTACATCGTCACCACCATCATCACTTTTTTCACTGTGTGTACCACCATCAGTGCTGCTACTACACCATTAATACCAATTATTACCATCACCACCAATATTGATATACAAAAGCTACTTTATCTTCTATACCTTCGTAAACGCCATAATCATATGATTAAATGACCAAAAAGATTTGCTTTCATAAATAAATTTAAAACCCACGAAGAAAATACTGTTTGAATGAATACAGTCATTATGACTAAGGATTAATTTTGTTTAATAATCATTAAATAATTTTACTTGAACGAATATTAAATACAATAATATATATACAATAGTAATGAATATATTGATATAGTTTTTACAATAAATACAATAAAATTAAATATGTTTATTGGTTCATAAGTTAATAATAATTTCAAACACTTTTATGAACATATTCTCTCCAACGATCTTTATATAATTGATGTTGATTATCTGGATAAAATGAGTGAATGTTGTTACGATAAATTATCCATTGTTTTTGATATTAATGTGATTTTGTAGCCACATGTTTAAAAGTGTCGGATATGTTGGAAATAAAGGGAAGGAAGAATTGGGATTTGGAATTTTTTTATCTAATCATTATTTAAATTATAAATATAAATATGAATACAAATAAAATAAAACGATATAACATGTGCATACATGATGGTGAAATGTGCCCTTGTATCTGTTTATCGAAAGCCGAAAAACTTAATTTTGTTGAAATGATGGATGTAGAAGTGTAATGTTGTAAATGTTAAGGAGGTTGATAATTTCGTCTGCCATGAACCATCTATTTTAGTAAAAGTAAAAAAAACCGTAAGTCTAAGCAGTTATTCTAGGAACACAAAAACTATCTATCATTATTTCTATTGTAATTATGACTACAGTATATTTATATAGAAAATATTAAACCATTTACATTGTCTTCTAAACCGTGATGGTGGCGTGCAAAGATCAAGTCCCTTTTAGATTATCATGAACCTAGGTTATACAGATAAGACCAGTGTTATCCTACTCGTGACCCAAACTATGACCACGATAAAGAATAAATGTAAACTTTATAGGAATAAAATTCTCAGAATAAACTTGCTTTTGTTTCGGGTTCTGAGATGGGTTAACAAAAAGTGGGTATGAGCACCCCATATGGTCCTGAATCACAGAGTGATCGGTTTTTATACAGGAAAATTCGAAATCCAAAATCTCAAATGAGTCCCAAGAAGGTACTCTGCTCTTTGAGCACAAATCATTTGAAAAAAATTAGCGATGGATTATTTACATACATGTCAACATTTTAATCTACAAATGACTATGCCATGCAAATAGGATCAAAATATAAAAATGATTTTTGGGAGGGAAGGATGTTGTCATCGTAGCAGTATAAATAAAATGACATGATATCTATTGTATAATCTTAATAAATATTTAATGATAATTTTTAATCTAAAAGCTTAGTATCTCAAGTTTATATACTACAAAACTTGATCGCACTTTTTGGATTCTGATTCTGGAATTATTATCATACAAACTACCAGTAACAAAAATGTCAATATTAATTTCTTTTAAGGTTGATTTTATTCATTGTGAAGCAACATTGATAAAAGTGGAAATTTTGTATATTTGTGAGATTGAACAAATTATAATTCATCCAAAAATTCTAAAAAATAAAAAGACAACTTCAAATACGAATAGATATCTACATTCCATAGTTGAGATATGATGATGACATTAATAAATCAAACAATAAAATTTTGATGAATTATAATATTCGCGTTACAGCGAACTTTTAGAATCTTACTTCGCATATATAAACATATAAAATTTGTTAAGATGTATTTTTCTTCTTCTTGTAAATCAATAAACAATTTAAGCTCTATGATATACAACATCATCTAACATTCACATAAAAATTCATAATATAGTAAAGGTGGAAATTGATTAATAATATGGGAGTTTGTATCACATTTTGTTTTGATGAAGTAAAAAAAAATAGTAATAGGATGCCAATCAATATAAGTCATTCTTGGTTTTGATCACAATTTTGATAAGTAGTGATAAAAATCTGGAATTTCAACAATTTGATTAGCTGCTTCATGTACTTGAATCCTAAAAAAATTAAAAATAAAAATTAAAATACAATTTTTTTAAAAAAATGGCTATATTAATATTAATATAGTTTATTTTCATACTCTTTTACTGTTAAAGCTTTTTGAAAACAAATTATATCTCCATTTATTATTCCAGATTGATCAAATGTTGATTTTTGGTTCATTTCTTTTATCATATTGGGATCAATTTCCTAATAATAATAATCAATATTTATTAATTTATTAATAATAATAATAAACAATTAAGTTTAAAATTTTATAATTATAAATCATAATGCAGTGAATGGCACATACTTCATATACATTGAGTGGAGTATTTACTGGGAAGTTCTTTTTTTTACATAAAATTGGATAAATGTCACCAACTTTACCAGATCCTTGTACATAAAGAGAACCAAGACATCTACATGATATACATAGGTATGTATAAATATAAAAAAGTAATTGTCAAAATATTAAATTCAAAAAAATATATCTGTAACACATACTCTAAAGTTTGTGTGCAAGGATCAAAAAATTTCAGAAATACTAAAGATTTTCCACCTGGTGAAGGAAACCAAGTCTAATAAATAGATTTAAAAAAATTGATTTTGGATTTTGTCAAAATATATTTAAATGAAAATCTAATAAAGAATGAACGAATAATTTACATTGTCAATTAAAGGTTTATCTGCAATTTCCAAATATAATGTATTCTTGTATGGCATTAATTTAGCACAAATCTCATCCATTGCTAATACATAATGATCAAAAAAATGAATAATTGACACATGCAAAAATATTAAATTATTAAAAAAAAGATGAAAAAATTGAAATCATACTCAAATTAAAATAATCAGATGATATCAATATGTCAGGTCTGACAGTTTTATTTTGCCTTGGTCCAAAAGCCCAAAAATGAATTTGTTCAGGTTGTTTTTCATATTTGACTGCTACCTTCTGTTTAAAATGATTGAATGGAGTTGTTTTAAGAATTTTCATTACAGGAAGAGCTGATATAAGATCTTCTTGATTACTAAGATTAGCAAGGTCAAGTCCTTTATGTACTTTGAAAGTATCTTCAGTGATGAACTTTTTTTAAAAAATATATATTAATAAACTTTATGCAAATAATTCATATATAATTCCAAATTAATATTTAACAAAAATTTGAATAAAAAACACTCAACTTGTATGTACACATAACTTTCATTGGCTTCATTTTTTGAAAATATTATTAAAATATATTTTTCATTTTTACTATATATTAGATTTAAAATTAGAAATTAAGAGTTTTATTTTAAGTTTCAATTAAACCTTTACCTATTATTCTTGGTCCTTTTTGGAGTAATAACCTTGGTTGCCATTTATTACTAAGATTGTATTCAAGAATTTCTTTATAAACTTCTTTATCAAAAATATTTTTGAATGGTAAAATTCTTTCAAAAAAATCATTTGAAGAAATTTGATCAAATCTTATTAGTGGAATAATCTCTTCTAATGTATTTTTCAATTGTTTGAAATCATCTTTATTCCACTCTGAAACACTATTTTTCAACTCTTTATTTTGCCAAATTCCTCATTGAATAACATAATCCCATATTTCAATTTCATTTAATTCTAAATCATCTTTCTTTAATATAGTTATTAGCATTGATTTTTCAATAGTTACAAATTCATTAGATTTAATTAATGATATAAGATTTTCATCAATTAATACATCATAATGACATTGAAGTAAATTGAATGTTCTAATTTTATATTTTGATAAAAATTTATGAATGTGAACTAAATTAAGTTGAATCCATTCTCTTCTTTTAACAAGTAAATGTTTTTGCAGATCTTCAATTAATTCATCAAAGCATAGTTCATTACATGCTTCAAGTAGTTCAAGAATTTCATCTGGCTTGAGATTATTAACATTGACAAAACCATTATAAATATATCTTTAAATGAAAAAAGAGATTTTAAACAAAAAAAACATAATTAATTAATTAATATTAATAATTTATATTAAATTAATCTTACAATAAGAGAACTTCAAATATTTTTGGAGAAATATTTTCTTTTTCAAATAAAATGAGTCCATCAGATTTTTTTGCCCAATTATTTGACAAAGCTGCTTTAAAATACAAAGATCTTGATTTCAAAATAGTGGAATGAGCTTTAAAAGTTTTAATGTCTTCACCTCCTCCAACTCTAATTTCTACATCATAAAAATCCGATTTATCCAATAAGTTTGTTAGATCGTTTACAAGTTTATCAATATATTTTATTTTTAATGGTAAAGTATCTTTATTGAGTTGTAAAAATGAAAAACTATCGTTAATATTAAACATTTTTTTAAGGTTTTATTTATTTTAAGGGTAGAGGGAAATCATGTGATTTTAAATAGTGATCGACTGGCATAATAATAATAATAATAACCATTAACCTCATACAAGGCTATACCCAAAACTCGTTTTAGTAAGATGTTTACTCTCGCATAGTCATAAAAAAAATAATATTTTGTTGATAATTTCGTCCATCTATTTTAGTAAAAGCAAAAAAAACGTAAATCTAAGCAGTTATTCTTTGAAATTCTAGAAACTATCTATCATTATTTTAATTGTAGTTACTGTCATTTACATTGTCTTCTAAGCCGTGATGGCAGTGTGCAAGTATCAAGTCTCCTCTAGATTGTCTGATATAGACAAGACCAGTGTTATCCTACTCGTGATCTAAACTATGACCACGATAAAGAATAAATATAAACTTTATAGGAATAAAATTCTCAGAATAACTTGCTTTTGTTTCGGGTTCTGAGATGGACCAACAAAAAAATGGATATGAGCATCCCATATGGTCATGAATCACAGAGTAATCGATTTTTATACAGGAAAAGTCGAAATTCAAAATCTCAAGTGAATCCAAGAAGGTACTCTGCTCTTTGAACATGTTGTATGTGAAATTGAAATATTATGTAGTGGGGTGAAATTCTGCTCGGCTAATTTGAATTTCACATAATTTCATTTTCACATACAACAAGCACAAATCATTTGAAAAAAATTTTAGTGATGGATGATTACATACATGTCAACATTTTAATCTACAAATGGCTATGCCATGCAAATAGGAATCAAAATATAAAAATGATTTTTGGGAGGGAAGGATGTTGTCATCGTAGCAGTATAAATAAAATGACATGATATCTA